AAAATCGATAAGAGTAGGCTTCGGCCGCCACCCGGGCAAAATTTAAAAATTTCCTACCAACTGAAAATATTAGGTGTATCCCGCGGGCTCATATGACCTATGCAGTTGCGAGCTCCGTAAAACACTTTACAAAAACAAAAATCTTATCTTCGGCACTTATTTGAGGTGATTGTGTTGCAAGTGCCGTAAAACTCTTACTAAGACTAAAACTTTCCCTCAGGTATATCGAACGCCTTAACACTGACAGCCACAGCATCTGCAACTGGGACCGTACGTTGACCGCGACCCAGGAGAACACGCCCGGTCAGCCAGAAGCCAACCTGCCAGGAGACTGGTTAGCCCACGGGGCGGGTTGCCACGGTAACGTCAGCAATGCCTTGTGGGCCCTCAGAGATTTCATGCTGAAGGATGCTGTAAACTTGGCCCGCACTGTACCTTTTGATGACTTGTAAGCTTAGTTAAGGAATAGTTGTGTCTACCCCATTTGTATATAGAATAATTATATATAGGTTTTGTTTCTATGTTATGGTTTTTAAATTTGCTGGTCACATATTATTATAATGGTACAGGAACTGCAATTTTTTTTTTTCCTTTTTAAAGTATTGGTGGGAATAAATGTGTGTGTTTCATATATTTTTAGGTACTTGGAATACTTTTTAACTTTTCCGTTGTCTTTTGGTCTGTGGGTTTTATTGGAATTTTATTGCTGTTGTGTACTGAGTGTTATTACTGATTTGGGTGGGTTGTTTTTTGTTTTTGTTTTTAATTTTTTAATTTTATTTTAAAGTGGACATCTTGCTCCTCCAGAGACATCATAGTGTACTCTTTAAAAAATTCCAAGGGACCAGTTTTCCTCTCATATGCTGCAGCATAACGCGAACTCAGTGCTTTCTTGTCGTATCTCCATTTTTAGTAACAGGGAAAACAGTTCAGAACAAAGAGTGAGCTTAAGAAGAAATCAGATTTTCCCTGTTTAAAGAAATGGAGATAACGACGAGAAAGCTCTGAGGTCGCGACAATGCAAGAGCTTTTGGACACTCCACGTGAAAGACTTGGTTTCAAATTCCTGTGAGTTGAAGAAGATGAAGAATGCTCTAGTGTGATTTGCTTCTTCTATCCTATCCAACATCTATCGTCCTTATCTCCCCTCCTTCTTTTTTGTGTTTGTTACTCTCTTGGGACACCTCTAATCTTCGACCTTTATATGACCTTATTGTGTTGCAAGTGCCGTAAAACTCTTACTAAAACTTGGATCCTGTATCCCATTCATCTCTTAGCACTTTGCCGTCACTTGGCGCAATAATGCGAAAATGATCTTTTTCGGTCGCCTGGCGCAGTTCTGCTCCAGGTCCGAGATGAGAAGTCCGATGCAGTCACTCTCCTGGCTGGGTGACCAGATGGGGTATTTTGTGCTGCTGGCTGTGTGACTGCAAAGTGTTAATTTAATGATCTGAGTTGTGTTGACGAGGATGAAAAACATTTACCATCACGGTTTGCATGCCTGATAAAGAAATTATAATAATGTTTAATAATATATGTGAGGCATCGTGATGAAATCAAGCGCTCTTCAAAATAGTGAAATCAAAGAATACTGCTTTTTTGGGGGCCAATTGGCAATTTTTTTTTCTTATTTTCTGTTTTTGGCTCAACATCCTTTATGTCTATTTAAAGACATATATTTGTGTGGATTTTACTGAAAAACATTTCTGAAAGGCACGAACAATGTACATTTTCAGTTTCCAAGGGCTTTCAGGCTATGGAGGTTACCAAACTATGGCGGCCATTTTTTCCTAATTTTACCCCTGAAACCAGCCGACCCTGACCTCCTTCAATCACGGATACCTCAACTTCTGTTCAATGTAGATTGATATTTTTTTCACCAAATGGAATTCAAATGAACTAGCTTTAAGTGATACCAATATCCCCATATGCTCTAAAATTGACGAGCGCTTGATTCCATTTAATAATATATGGCAGTTTTATAGCGCTCAACCTGGATGTTAGTACACAGGCTCTGAACAGCATCGTCCAGTGCTGTCATGGTGTAAAGAAACTGCCTGCCGAAAATGGATGTCTGCTGTGAGAATTTTTTTTCTAAATTTTGATGAATGGAAACCTTGCTGAGTTGCAGTTCTCGCATTTCACCTTTTTGAGTTTGACAACTTTTTGAGCATCTGGGGTTGGTGGTGTTTGCTCCTTCTTTCTTTTCAAACATCTGTCGTCCAGACCTCTCCTCCTTCTGTTTTGGTGTGTGTTATTACATACTCTCTTGTAACTAATTCCTCTTATCTTTCGCACTTACGTTGGCCTTTATTGTATTGCAAGTGCCGTAAAACTTTTACTGAAACTAAACTGAGCATCGAGTGTTTACTTTGAAGTGGTCCAATAAATTATTAATTGTAGGTGTATCTTAGTTTTCTGATGCCATCACCATTGCTTAGCTCCTTAGTCAAATAAAAGTAACAGACACGATTTTGCATTAAACACTGACAAAGTGTATATTTTTATTTCTAAATATGTATATATTATATAGATAGATAAATATATGTGTATGATTGTCTTTACTGGAGGCAGCTTGTGGTTTGTACTTTTTACTACTTGACTAGTGAATACAACTGCATGTTGTGCTCTTAGATGTAGACTGTTTTAAAAGAGAGAGAGAGAGAGAGCCTCTCTAATGAGATGGCTATACACAGTGCAGGATGGATGTCAATGAATGATACAAGTATCTTGAGGCCTAACATAATTGGTCGCTTTTAAGGACAAGCGGGCTAACCCAGATTTTGGGGGTTCCTGAAATCTTGATCTACACCAAAAGTGGGCTTTGCCCTACTTATAGGAGAAGTTTGGTTTCATTGGTGTGTATATTTGTTTGGTTATAGAGAAAACTCTCATTGTCTTTTAAAGAGACTGAGCAAGGATCCAAAAGCTTTACCTTCGATTTTCTCAAAACAGCATTTTTCAGGATAGCCCCCTTATCTTGTCCTTAAAAGCAAACAATTCCAAATTGTATGTCTCCCATTATGCTTTGGATGAACCAAGTATGAGGAAAGATTGGCATGGATTCTTGGAACACATAGGCACTGGTAACATTAATGTAAACTTGCATTTAGAGAAACAGTGGAGTCTGGCTTAAACAGAACACACTTAATCTAAACATGAGATGGTAAATCAAAAGAAAATAGAATCCCAGAGCGATTTGTCTAAACGGAAAATTCAGCTGAACTAAACCTAGAAAAATCTGGTGCTCCCACTGATTTTGGTTTTAGCAGACTCCACTGTATTATTAAATAGCTTCTTTGTTTTGTGAGATTTCTTTATTGTGTCTTGAATTTATTTGGACAGCTGTACCGTGAATGTTTTTATAAAAGTATGGTGGCATTTCATCAATTTTGTATGTGTATAACATTACGATTATGCGTTTCATTGTCCAGTATGTTGAACATTTCAACTGGCTGATAGTCAGTGTTGTTACAGGCAGCATATTAATGTAATGATGACAGTCCCATGATGATGATGATGATGATGACATGCATGATGAGGAACAAATCCAACATTTGACGCAACTTGTAGTTGTTTTTTTTCCCCAACTTTTCAGCTCACGGTTGTATGTTTATCAACATGGTTGATGTATGTCTTCGGTAAAAGTCATTTCAAGATTACTGTTTTTACTTTGTAGAGTTCTGTGGTTTGCAGAAGGCTCAGATCTTTGGCCTCTATGTCATTTCATATTTTATTCCTGTGAGTGATGAGGATAAGGATATATACTGTATGTGTGTTGTGTGTGAAAGTTGAATGATGATAGTTTTATTGAACGTCTTGATGTGGGTATATATATATACATTGGTACTTGCCTTATGGAGTAGTCCCGTGGCTGCCTCCACTTAGACTCAGTGATAAGTGTTGTCTTGGATTGGCTCACCGTGGTGTTGTACCGTCGTTTAACCCTACCCGTACGTCTTCTTTTACTATCGTATCCATACGACCTGGGGAACTCTGTGCCACCGCTTAACCGTATCCGTACGTCGTGTTTTACTATCGTATCCATATGACGTGGGGAACTCTGTGCCGCCACTTACCAAAGAGGAAATTTACTCATTAATCCGATCCGTACGCTCTGCATTGCAGTCTCAAATGATTCTTTGAGAAATATAAAAGTTTCAAAGAGATCTGCGTACTAGAAGTATTCCAAACTGTGAATAATACAACCCCGGGAGTACAAAATGACCCTGGGGCGTACGGATAGGGTTAAGGAGCCCACTGCACGTGTGAGTATGTTTAGTTGTTGCCTGCATATATTGACATCAGGCTCAGAAGAAAAAATAGGAGTGTTCTCTTTTTTTTATTTTAAAGTCAGTAGCTTTTTTCTTGTAGAAGGTTGTAATTTTCATAGAAAGGAGGTCATGATAATGTGAAATCCATTTTCCTTATCTGGCACATTCTCAGGCTCTTGTGCTTGTTTAGCACATAAATCTAATTTTTCTGAAAACGATGTTCTTTCTTTTCTTTTTTTTTAAATTGTAGGACAATGTATGTGTGCATATTGTTTCAGTATCTGGCACTCAATGTCATGGCTAATTGCTGATGGCAATTGTAGCCTGCAGCGTGTCTTTTCTTTTTAAGACAGAAGCCAAGAAGAGCTCTAATGCTGACTTTTGTGGGCCTTTGAAATAAATATTTTACCATGATACATTCTACAAGTACACTGCCGTACCAAGTCAGACCGACGTATCTGCAAAAATGATTAATTTTTGCTTCTTCATTTAAATGGACGCCTATACCAATTCCGCATCTTGTGTCAAAGGCAGGAAGACGTATCTGCACTACAAATAGGATATTTCACTGTGGAAAACAGACGTAACTGAAGGGCCATGCCTATATTCCCAATGGCAGTGCAACGTTGATCAAAATCATTAAAAGTGCAGATACATCACTCTGCCTTGGTACGGCAGTTAACAGTTGAACCTGTCTTATTGGCAGCCTGTCATAACAACGTCTCCCTGCTCTTCCCTCGGTAAACTCCTCTATAGTACACTGTCTAAGAGGAAAACGTGCTCTAGCCTGAAAGAAGAGAAATTCCTTCCCTTCATTCAGAGGGTTTTGACTTGTTGAAGACAGAATGCTTTGCCCGCTGAACCCTAACTTAAAACAAAACTCCCAGATTTGGTTCCACATGCTCTGATCTTTACTACGCTATGTTGCCAAATAGGGGAATGGGGTACAGGGTGTGATTTGGGAGTAGTTATTGCCCCACCCATGTGAGCTTTGAGTAGTGCAGAGGGTCGGGTGGATGTAGGTGAAATATCATCACTTATTGGGAAAGTGCTCGAGTGACGTGCTAGCTCGAAAACTTTCACAGGTTGCCAGAGGTGTGAAATTAATTTGACCACTGCCTGACTGGTCTTGATTGTATGGCCCACAGAGAAAAAAGTTCTTCAAGACTAATTTTTGTCGCATGCGTGGGAGGGGTGGCATTGGTTGATTGTTCTTATTACATCAATAGTTGGGACTAAGGGCAGGAACAAAGGAGAGGTTCTAGCTTTGCTGTTTCAATTGGTCAGACAGTGATACTGTGAGACGCAAGCACTGGTGACAGTGGACATGTAATACGGCTGCATGCCACGAGCAGAG